AAAGATTGACAGTCAAGTGACTGGTAACATTATGGGCAGTACATTAAGGAATAGTATTAATAATAACCTCCATTTCTGTAGCACTTTAAATTTTACAAAATGCTTTCCTCACAACATCCTTATAAAGTTGGTTATGCAAATATTATTTCCATTTTATTGTTGAGAAAACAAGATCACTGAGTGCTTAAATGATATGTCCAAGATCACATAGCTTATAGGAGACAGCATGGTGTAATGGATAGGGCACCAACTTGGATTCAGGAAGACTTGGGATCAAATCCTGACCCACACATTTATAAGTTGTGAGCAATTCACCCTGAGCCATTCACTTAACCTTTCTGTGTCTCAGTTCTCTCATCTTTAAAGAGCTCTAAACTCAGTGCCTTCTGAGGTCCCTTTCAGCTCTAAATCTATGATTCTAAGTGTTGAAGCACAGGTCTTAATCCAAGATGAGTACTCTTTCCAGTACACCAAAACCTACTAGGGGGATTCCTGAGGGGAAACAAGTTCAATCCAATGGATCTTTGGAATAAATCCTAAATTTGCCCTGGAGGTGCTCTGGAAAGGAAGATGCCATTTTTATAGTAGCTGTTGTATATTTTTAATAGAATGGAAGTTCCTTGAGGGCTAGGTTGAGAGAAACTGGATACTTCCTCCCAGAGGGAATGTGGCAGAGTCAAGTTAGGCTTGGAAAATTGCAGCTCAACAGAATACTTTAGAAGTTAAGTACTAGTCTGAGTATAGGGAGTTTTCTTTTTATGGTTCCTTCTAATTAATTACCTTGCCCTGGTGTATTATTTTGTAATTTGCATATTCTCTTTGCCATGATTAGTAACCCCAAGAAAACATACTCTTATGCTCTAGAGTGTGTAGAAACTTAGTAGAAGGGGGAAAAAGAAGCAAGTGCTAGAAACCAGCACCAAGATACAGAGGTGATGATAGGAGGAAGAGTGGAACAGATAATCAGGTTTAGCTGTGGCAGAATTTTGAATTCCAGGGTTGGGGAAGATTGGGGCTCACAGCCTAATGTCAAGAGTTTGTTTGAAGGTTAAGACCAAGGCTTCTTCAACTTTTTTGTGTTATGGATCGTTTCAGTAGTCTGGCAAAACCTAAGGAGTTTTTAAGGGCATAAAAATAAAATGCATAAGGTTACAGTGAAAACCAAATTAAATAAAGATGTAATTTTTTCCTATCTGAGTTCACAGACCCCCTGAAATATATCTGAATCCCAGTCCAAAAACTGGCTATTCAGCCTGATTGAGAAGATAGTGAAAGATGAAGCCTCTACCTCCTGAATTGATTCTAAATGGAAGTGCAAGTACCCTGGAACGGATTCAGTGAGGCTTACGTCCCAGAGCAATATTCTTTATGCCCTGTGAAAACACTATTAGTGGTAGTAAATAGTGGTAAAGATAAGATATCGTGGAAACATCAGGAAAAGAACAACAAAATGAGAAAGGTGAAGAAAGCAGCAATTATAAAAAACAATGACATCTTTTTGAAATGAAAAAAAGTATTTTAAAAACCTTTCACAATATATATCTTCAGTACAATAATTTTATGTAGGCATTTTTGAGTGTGTGTTTTTGTTTTCCTTTTCAAGGGGACCTCATTTATATGATATGGCCTTTATTTGGACCAAAGTGGTACTATCTTGTTATCGGTACCATATCTTGAATCATTTTGTTACATAAAGTCATGTTAATTGTTTTTTATACTAGACCTTATCTCGGTCCCCCCCATTAGATAGCCTCTTCTAAATGGAGCTTGTGTAAAATAGTATCTCTTAAATAATTAATCAAGCCTTGCCTAGCCCTATTTTATAGATGGGGACTTAGGGTTTATTGTTGAAACACAGTCTTCTGAATCTCCTTAGTGATAGGGAAAAAAACCACTTTTTATGGATGAATTTGACTTACGGCAGTAGCCAAAACTAACTTGAACCTGTGTATGGCAAATGACTGTTCCTTTGCTTAGAGCAGCCGATGTCAAACTCAAATAAAAGTAGATTCTAGTGGGCTGCATGTTGACCTAGAAACACAAATTAACATTATGTTGTATTGTATTTTTATTTATTTTGTTAAACATTTCCCAATTACATTTTAATCGGGTTCAGCTTCACTTGGAGTATTACAGGCCCATGCAGCCCTGTGGGCCATTAGCTTGACACCTCGATGTCTTACCTTCCCTTCTTCTGCTTAATTCTTATCTGTCCTTTAAAGTCCAGTTCACATGTCACCTCTCCAGAAAGCTTTCCATGATCTGCCTGGGAACCTTCATTCTTGAACCTCACATCCCCTCACATGGTTTTATAACTCTCTAAAGTACTTAACACATGATGTTGTGTATCATGTGTATTATTATGTATTATTATATCTGTGTTGTTGTCTTACTCAGCAGTAGGTTCCTTGCCCCTAAAACAGTGCTGTTTTCACAGTAGTCACTTAAAAAATGCCTGTGTATTGTTTTTTGTTCAATTGAATTATTCCATTTTTGGTCAAAACAAAGGTGTGATTCTAGTCACTGTAAAGACTGCTTTTCTTCTATTTGTGAAAGGTACTTCCGAAAGAGAAGGTCCAGAAGTGTTTTGAGCAATGGCAACAACATTGGAATATGTGTATATCCTCCCCAAGTTGACAGCTTTGGAGGCAGCATCTCTCGCATCCATTTATCTCCTCCTTTCTACTTACACTGACAGTGTTGACCACTCCTCTCTTCTTGAATTCTTTTCCTCCCTGGATTTTCTTCACACAACTCTCTCCTGATCCTGTTAGTACGTGTTTGACCATTCCTTCTCAGTCTATTTTTTTGGATCATCCTTAATATCCTATTCAGGCTGTACCTGGATATATCTCAGAGCTCTGTTCTTTGCCCCCTTTTTCTACACTCTCAGTGATCTCTTAAGTTCCAATTAGTTCAGTTGTCATCTCTTTGAGATGTCTCTCAGATCTATATATTCAGCCCTCACATCTCCTCAGTAGCAGTCCCACCTTGCCAACTGCATGCTAGATATCTCTATCAGGATATTCCACAAGCATATGAAACTCATGTCCAAAATCCACCTTTCTTCCTAATTTCCTTATCCCTCTACCACCATCCTTCCAGTCATCCAATTTCAGAACCCTGAAGTCATCCTCAGGGGTCAGATTTGTATATAGGATGGATTGGAGGGGAATTGAAGGAGGGGCTCTGAGTAGGGAGATATAGACATAGTCTAGGTGATAAGAAACTGAACTACTGTGGTGCCTACATGAGTGGAGAAAAAAAAAATTGATGAAAGATATGTGAAGGCAAAAATAGGACATGGCAACTGCATGAATATAAGGATTGAAGGGAGAGGGAAGATTCCCCCACTCCTGGAATGCATTTCTTCTCTGATACCTCCCAAAATTCCTAGCTCCCTTCAAGGCTCAACTCAAGTGTTGCACCAGGCATACTTTTACTGATTCCCCGCAGTGGTTAGTGCTCCCCCTCAAAAAAATTGCTTTGTAGTTAATTTGCATATATTTTTTATCAACTTCTCTATGTACATGTTCAAGCTCCTTGAGGTTAAGAACTATTTTTGTCTTTGCATCTCTAGTGCCTAGCGCAGGGTTCGACACACAGCAGATGCTTAATAAATGCTTGTTGAGTTGAACTGAACTTGGGCCCATATTACACCTTATCTACAATATCGTAACAACCTCTAACTGCTTTTTCTGCTTTTAGCCTTTCCTCTCTAATCCATCCCTCCCAATACTAACAAAGTAATCTTCCTATGACACACATCCATTCACATCACTCTCTTACTCAAAAATTTTCTATGGCTTCTTATTGCCTACAGAATCAATCTATCAATGAACAGATATTTATTAAACACCTAATATGTGCTAGACATTGAGAATACAAACACAAAAAGCAAACAAACTCTTGGGAGTTCTAGAAATAGTATAAATACAACAAATACACAAAGCAAATACAAGATAGTTTCTGGAATTGAGAGTAGGAGATAGCTGAAAGGGTCTCACACAGGAGGTCAAGCTGTCCTTAGCTTAGCATTCAGGGTCCTTTTGATCTGGTTCCATCCTGCCTTTCTATCCTTATTTCATACACCTCTCCGTCATGCATTGTATATTCCCACCCAAATGGACTACTAGTTTTTCCCTGACCTAATCCTAGCCTCTCCCAACTCTGTGCATTTGCACAAGCATGCCTGTGTATGTCACTCTATGCCTGAAATTATCCATGTCTCCGGTTGAAAGTCCTGTGTCTCCTTGAAGGCTCAGTCCAGGTACTACTTCTCCTGATTCTTCTCCCTTCCTTTCCCATTTCTGCCATCTTAAAGTGATTTCAACCTCCTTATGTTTCTTCTAGCAGTTTGTCTTGATCTCTTCCTTGTACTTATTTTTGTTTTGCCTTTTGTAGAGCTTATGTGTGTTTTTATTCCCCCTTCCAGGACACCCACATTGGATTGTAAGCTTCTTGAAGCCAAGGATTATGTTGTGTGTCATCTTCATATCCCCAGTGTGGCTTACAGGGCTTACATATAGTGAGTACTTAGCAGTTGTTTGTTGAATTAAATTGGACATTGAACCCTTGTTTGAATCTAAGGGATGTTGGGGAGGGTGGCATTGGGGAGGCAAGATGACTGTCTTCAAGTATCAGAAGGGCTGTCATGTGGAAGACACATTGGGTTTGCTCTGCTTAGCCATAGGGAGCAAGTCCTTCACAATGAGACCTGTCCATAAATAGAACCACTAGCTCAGGGGGTAAGGTGTTCCCAGTCACTGGAGGTCTTCAGTGGAAACTGGATTTCTTGTCAGGAATATTTTAGACATATTCATGCTTGGGGTTGGGGTTGGCCTAGATGACTTTTGAGGAGATCCCATCCAACTCTGTAGTTCTTTAAATTCCAGTATATACTTAAAAATCAGTTTCATCACTTCATAGTTACACCTCCTCTAACCTTTTAAACAAGGAGATTTAGATTTGTTTCACTGAGAAGAGTTTCCTTGTTTTAGACTACAGGAAGTTTTCTCAAGAAGAGGACTTCTGAACAATGGCGGTTTTTGATTCTCCCCAGGAAGCATTTGGCATTTTACGCCCAGTTTGTATTCAGCTCACAAAGACACAGACAGTGGAGAATGTGGAACGCCTTCAGTCAAAACTGCATGTTGTGAGTGATTCTGCTCTTCAAGACCTTCAAGAATACGTCCTCTTTCCCTTGAGATTTGCCCTCAAGACTCCAGGCACCAAAAGAGAGAGCCTGGTCCAGAGTATAGTAGAATGTATCACATTTGTCCTTTCTACAACATGTATAAAGAAACAGGACCTCCTTCAAGAACTTTTTTCAGAACTCTGCCTTTGCCTGTCTTCTCCCAATTCCCAACAATCAGCACCTGTTTCAGAAGAATTAAAATTGGCTGTGGTCCAGGGACTCCATACGTTAATGCATTCAGCCTATGGGGATATAATCCTCAGCTTGTATCAACCTTGCACTCTTCCCCACTTAGGATTTGCTATATCTTTATTGTTAACTCTAGCAGAACAGGAGAAATCAAAGCAAATTAAAACTTCTGCCTTAAAGTGTTTACAAGTTCTTCTCCTACAGTGTGACTGCCAGGACCATCCTAAGTTGTTAGATGACATTGAGACAAAACAACTTGGAGATTTGTTAGCTTCTTTTTTGCCTGGGATCTCAACTGCATTGACCAGGATTATCACAGGAGACTTTAAACAAGGTCATGTGATCATTATATCTGCCTTAAAAGTCTTTTATAAGACAGTTGGCTTCATTATGGCTGATGAACAATTAGCAAGAATTCCAAAAGATAAAGAGAAACCTTCTGTTGAACACAGGATAGCAGAACTTATGGTCCATAGAGATGCAAATTGGGTTAAAAATACTGGAGATAAGTTGGCGGCCCTTATTGAAAAAATAGTTGAATTTGTTTCAGTTCACCCACACTGGAAGGCAAGGATGGAACTGATAGAACTTGTCCAGGATCTTCTTATGAAGTGTAGACAATCCTTGTTGAAATCTGTTGGCCACCTTTTGAAGGTTTTGGTGGGTTTGGTAAATGATGAGAATCCTGATGTCCAATGCAGATGCAATAATGTTCTCAAGAATTTCGCAGATCAGAGGATAGTTGTTGAGAGCAGGGCACTCACTGACATTCTGTCAGAAAATCTTCACTCTCTTGCTACAGCCCTTCCCCGCCTGATGAGTTCACAGGATGACCAAGGCAAATATTCTACTCTTCTCTTGTTACTTGGTTACCTGAAACTCTTGGGCCCCAAAGTTAACTTTGTTCTCCATTCTGTGGCCCACCTTCATCGCCTGTCCAAAGCACTCATACAAGTGCTGGAACTAGATGTGACTGATGTAAAAATTGTCGAAGAGCGACGCTGGGGCCCTGATGGATTGGCTGAATCTTCCAGTTCATTGTCAGAGCCACCCTTATTCAAGAGCAAAAGCCAGAGGAAATACTTTCGGTTTTTCACAGATGAGCGAATTTTCCTGCTATTGAGGGAGATATGTCGGATGCTTGGTTATTATGGGGATCTCTATCTGCTTGTGGATCACTTTACAGAGCTGTACAATGAGTCTGTCATTTACAGAAAGCAAGCTGCCATGATCCTTAATGAACTAATTGCAGGAGCAGCTGGGATAGAGGTGGAGGTTCTTCATGAAACTAATAGCAGAGCAAGTGCGGAAGAACTGAAGGAGATCATAACATCCATTCTTGAGGAATACATAAGCCAGAAAAACTGGTATTTGGTCACTTCTAACGAAGCTGAGGGAAACAGAGAGGAGTTAACTATGAAGCATTCAGACCTTCAGACCATCACATCTGGTGTTCACACCTGCCATCTTGTACCACTTCCATCATCTTCAGAGCTTAGTCCCATTGTCTGTTCTATGAATAGCAACATCTGGCAAATATGCATCCAGTTAGAAGGGATTGGCTGCTTTGCACATGCCCTAGGAATAGAATTTCGTTTGCTTTTAATGTCAGCTCTCTACCCAGTGCTTGAAAAAGCTGGAGACAAAACTCTACTTATTAGTCAGGTGGCTACCGGCACCATGGTTGACATTTGTCATGCCTGTGCCTACGACTCTCCCCGGGACCTGATCAATCATAATGCTGACTATTTAGTCAATGAGATATCCTTAAATCTGCATCAGATGTCATTGTCCTCTCATACCCCAATAGTCTTGGAAATTATGTTCCAGAACTCAGATGCTGGCTTGCTTCCTTTGGTGGAAGACGTGATTCAAGATGTACTGTTCAGCCTGGACCAGTTTCACGATGAGAGAGCTGCTTCATTCCTCAGTGTTCTACGTACAGTGTTGGCAGCCTTAGGTAGAGTGGAAACCTTTTCTGGTACTTAATTTGGGGAACTAGCCGTATACCTATATGATAGCCTAACCACATTTTACCAGGCTTTTACTATTTGTAGTTATAATTTAAGGGACATAATTTGAATAGAAATATATCAAAATCTGTAAAATAATAGACAATGTTAAGTCATATTTATGTTGTGTTATTTTGAATTTCAAATGATCAAATGAATTAACATGTGCAAAATGTTCTTTGCAAACCTTAAAAGTGCTATATAAATACTAACTATTTTATTTAATGATAATGGAAAATTGTCAGTGCTAATGGTATAATAGGAATAACATGGATAATTGAATACTGTATCACAGATAATTCAGAAATCTCATTTTAACCATTAGAAACAAAGACTTGAAAGTGTTAGAACCACAAGGGACTTGTGAGTCCTATTCCTGGGAATAAGTGTTGGGCAGTGGTGACAAGGCAAGCTTCATCTTAGGTCCTAGATTTGAAGTTGAAAGAAACCTTAGGAAGCATCCAATCCAAACGTCTCATTTTACAAATAAAGAAACTGAGGCCCAGAGAAGTTCAGTGATTTGGCAAAAGACCCACAGTTTACTCAGCAACAGAGCTAGAGTTTGAACCAAAGCCCTGCCTCGGTACAGTGCTAGTTCCGTCTACACCATCCCAGAAAGGTACATCGGATACAAGCTTAAAGAGCATCATCTGGGACCATAGGCCATCCACAGCTAGCTGCTTGAGCAATGTGAATGATTCATTCCAGATCCTCTGTTTCTTCTCACTTTCAGTAGACAGATAAGATCAGCAAAAAAACTGGTCTCACATACAGACACACACACAGAACCTTGGTGAGAACAAACTAGCCCGGCAGTCCCCAGGGAAGACTCTTAATCTCTCACCCTCAGTAATAAGAAATAATGTTCCTGGGGACTGTACGCTCATATGCTATTAGAGATGGAAAGGATTGTAGAAGCTCTCTAGTCCAGTCCTTTCTGTTTGCAGAGAAGGAAACCAGGCCCACAGAAGGGAAGTGATGTTGGTGGTGTTCAGTCGTGTCCCACTCTTCAGGACCCCATTTGGGGTTTTCTTGGCAGAGATCCTGGAGTGATTTGCCATTTCCTTCTCCAGCTCATTTTACAGATAAGGAAACTAAAGGCAAACAGGGTTAAGTGACTTGCCCAGGGTCGCACAGCTAGTAAGTATCTGAGGCCAGATTTGAACTCAGGAAGATGAGTCTTCCTGACTCAGGCCCAGCGCTCTATCCACTGTGCCACCTAGCTGCCCTGAAGTGACTTGGCCATAGTTAAATAACTGGTTGGTGACAGAGCTGCTATCCAAGCCCTGGTCTCTAGAACACTTTCTGCTACACCACTATTCCTCCCCCAGGCCGCAGCCTTGCATGTGATTGCACCACAAAAAAAAAATTGTCTCAGCTCCTTTGCTTTAATGACACTAAGGTCAGAAACCAGACCCAGGGACAGTTAAGTGGTACAGTAAATAGAGCTCCGGCTTTAGAGTCAGGAGGGCCTGAGTTCAAATCCAGCCTCTGACACTTGAAGCTTACTAGCTGTGTGACCCTGGGCAAGTAACTTAACCCCCGATTGCCTCAAACAAAAAAAAAAAAGAAACCAGACCCAAATCAGATTTTTAGCCCTTTGTTAGGCCAGCCTATCTTAATAGACTAGACTGACTGTTTCAAAGGAGAGAGGCCACCCCCTAATGAAGGCAGACTATGACTTTTTGCCATTCACATTAGCAGCAGCTTCCTCACTGCATGAACAATGTCACTCTATGCCTGAAACCTATCCTTTTGATTCTCTGTCATGCGTCTGAGTGTCTGTTGCCATGTTGTCTATTCCAGTTATGTGTCTCTGACAGACCCTTAGAGATAATGTACTCCAGCCCTCTCATTTTACTGAGGCTCAATGATGGTAAGTGACTTTTCCCAAATCTCAGTTTCTTGATGGCCGAACAGGAATTAGACCCTTGGTTTTAAACTCTGAGTCTTTGGTTATACTTCTGAAAGTCTTTTTTCTTTCTCCTAGTAAAAGCCCTGAGGTTTTATAACCAAAGTAAGAAATATTAGGAGTAGAAGTTAAGATTGATGCTGAAACAACCTAGGAAAAGCAAATATGTTGGGGTGGGGAGGGGGAGCAACATGATCCCAAGCAAAAGTTCTTAAGCATCTCAGACCACAGCTGTTTTGAATTAAGATGTATAGGGGCAGCTAGGTGGCACAGTGGATAGAGCACCGGCCTTGGAGTTAGGAGGACCTGAGTTCAAATCCGGCCTCAGACACATAACACTTACTAGCTGTGTGACCCTGGGCAAGTCACTTAACCCCAATTGCCTCACAAAAAAAAAAAAAAAAGAATTAAGAGGTATAATGAGGTTCTACTGATAAAGTCTGTCAAGATCATTAAATCAGCAGGTTAGGCCTAATACGTTTTAAGGTTGTTTCAACTTCAACAAAAATGTATTAAGTATCTACTGTATGCAGGCAATTGTGCACAGAGGTGGCATGGTATAGTGGAAACAGCAGTATTTGGGGTCAGAGAACCAGGTTTTGAGTCCCTGTTATGCCTCTAGGTAGCTGTGTAACATTTCTGGGCTTCAGTTTCCTCCACTGGGCATAATAATACTGTGCGTCACAGAGCTGTTGTGAATCAGCTTAAGTGAGATTATGTGCAAACAAGGCACTATTGTCAGACCTTGAAGTGCTATATAATGTCATCCATTTTTACAAAGACTAAATGCAGTACTGTCCCAGCCCTCATAGAGTTCCCAGTCTACTAGGGAGGTGGTCCATATGCACAAACACAAAGAGAAAATAGCAATCATTCTCATAGAGAGGACCTCATAAAACATCGATAGAGTATTTAAAAAAGATTGTAGATGGTACCAGTTCTTTCAACAGAGATATCCCTGAGTGAAGAAGGGCAATTTATTAAGCTGCTCTATTTTGATAGAGATATCTCTTTAAGAGTATGTAACACCCTGTGTTTTCTCCAAGAAGCCTTTTAATTATTGAATAAGTAGTTTGCCTGAATGTACTTAGCAACTGGAAGGGAGTTAATACAGATGACCAGTTCTCTTGCTAGATAGACATACTAATGTAAACAAGCAAAGTATATTCTCATTAAGAAGTTAGTCTTTTGTGAGTTTGGTTAGAATGAACTAGTGCTTCATTATTGTGCCCTGTCTGGCCTCCTCGTATGTGCATATGTTTAGGGTCAGGGATAGTTAGAATTATTGTTGTGCCTGGTCTAACCCCGAGCCCAGTGTATCCTCCCTTCCTCCTTATTAAAAACGGAGACAGGTAGGCCTCAAAGATTAGGACCATAGAATTTTAGAGTTGGAATGGACCTCAGAAGTCATCTACTTCAGTGCCCTGTTTCCAAACGAAGAAACTGAAGCCTCAGTTTTTAATACCTCACTGAGGTTTTCTCCTTGATGTATCAATAAAAATGGAGAGTACACAGTAATAATAAATCAAGTTTTTACAGGTTAAGTGAATGTCAAAGCCTGTCTTAGCTCTAGATGCCATGATTGGAAAGACCAATCAAAAAAGTACTAAAAGGGGGAAAGTCTGAGATAGAAAAGTATATAACCAGTTCAATTCAATTCAAGCATTTATTAAGCACTGTGTGCCATGCAATGTGCTAGTTACTGGAGATAGACAAAAACAAAATAGCTTCATCCCTTAAGGAATTTATATTCTACTGAAATGTCAGCTATCTGGAAGAAAAAAAAGCATTCGATAAAAACAAATCCTTGAGTATTTGTCTGTCTCTAGAATCTATCCTGCCCACTACCTCTTCAGTAATAAAGCAAGGGCCTGGGTATGTCACTTATGTACCATCTTTTTTGGTCGATGTTTCTGCTAAATATCATGATAATACTTTCTCTCTAGCCCGTTGGTTCCCAGAGGCCAAAGATGACAAACAGCTCCAGGAGCAGAATTTCAGGAAGGAGAAATATGATTTACACCAAGGCTCAGCAACTCTTGGAAAGGGATTTGCATTTACCACCCCTGCTGAAGAAATAGAACAGTTTTTGTTGGACTACCTCAGAAATAAGGATGTTGCAGATGGAAATGTCTCTGATGCTGATAACGAAGGTAATTTTTTAAAAAGAGACCTCCTGTTAGTGTTCCAAAACATAAAGAGAAGGAATCCAGGGTAACTTGATGCTAGCCTATTGTTTTTACTGTTGTCCACTTCTGCCTTGCATGTTCCCCTCCCCCTGACCTCAGTCCAGATCTTCAGACACTGAAGGATTAATAAATTAGAAGAACTTCTTCAAGTTTAAAATGCCAAAAAATAATGAGCTTGCTGTTCTCAGCATCATTTAAAATCGAACTGAGTCTCAAATTAGTTTGTTCTGTGGGAACTGGGCAAGATATGTTCTGTGAGAACTGGAACTCTGGGGTGAATCGAATCCAAGCTAACTACAAAAAATTCTTTCTGAATAGCAGGAAAGCATTGCAAATAGTATTTGGGACCCAAATAGTGATTTATTCGGAGTTCAGTCATGGTTTCCTCCAAAAGCAAAGCTTCCTTATTGGAAAGCTATTAGGTTATTTCTTCTCAGATTTGTTACTTGAGCTAGCCTCCGTCCTCCTTAGCCTTTTCCTGAATACCTCCCACCCCCACTGGCAACATTTTCAGGGGGAAAGATGGCTTGATATCCGCTAGTCAGATTTGCCCTACCTTGCTGAAATAGCTACCTTTTTAGACAATCCATTGTTATGAATCAATTGATGTGGATCAATTGAAATGAAAAGATGTTGGGTAGGAACAGGCCATATAAATAAAACCTTCCAGGAAGAAAAACCAAGAGCCCTCCATCAAGCTGTTTTGATAGGTGAATTTAAACAGCAAATCCTTCTTGGGAAAAACTTGCCATCCTCTCAGTTCTCATTTGTCACACACATTGGCATTCATTGTACAAAGGGTTGATTGTGTGCCTCCAACCAGAGGGAGCATTTGTTTGTTTATACCACATACCTGTGTAGTATTTAAAGTACCTTTCTGTTAGAAATCTAAATTGTGTATGGACACATTTGCTGTCTCTGGTATAGTAGGCAGAGTCCCAGATTAGGAGTCAGACCCAGCTTCTTGTGTAGGCTCTGTTGTCACTAGCTGTGGACTTAGGGCAAGTCACTTAAATTCTCTGAGGTTCTGTTTTCTCATCTGTCAGATAGGAATGATATCTCTACTACCTGCTTCACATTACTGTTTCGAAGCTTATTTTGAAGTCAGAGGACCTGGATTCAAATCTTAGCTCTGCTATGTACTACCTAGGGTACCTTGAGCAAATTGCTGAACCTCTGAGGAAACCGTCATTTTCCTGATCTGTAAAATCAGAGGATTAGACTAGATGATTTCTAAAGTGTCTTCTGCTCTACATCCTAAATCCTAGATCAAATAAAACCATATATTCAAAACACTTTAGCATTTTAAAGGGTTTCATAGAATGTAAACTATGCAACTATAGGGGGCTAAACTTGGAGTCAGGAAAATTTCAGTTCAGATTCTGTCTCTGACATTTATTCTGTGCGCTGCTATGGAAAAATCACTCAATCTTTCAATATTTCGATTTCTTCATCTATAAAATGGAATTCAAAGTTTTCTGAGCCTCAAATGAAATAATGTATATAAAGCACTTTGCACATTCTAAAGCACTGTATAAATGTCAGATATCATCACCATCATCATCATCATCATCATTCAGTTTCTGGTCTCCAGTTTGTCATGGCAGTGACAAGGGACATGTGTGGGCACTGTTGGACTTACCTGTTTCAACAGAGGAAACATGCACAGAAATGTTAAAGGCAGATTTTAATCAGTTTTGAACTTCACTATTTAAGGAATGGTCATTAGGGGCTAGGAGTGGGGAAAAGACTACTCACTACCTTGAGTTTGGTTTCAGAGAGCTCCTCCCCTAGTTGTTGATACAAGTCTCTCCACAGCTGCCAATTGTGCCCTGTTTTCCAGAGGAGCAGCCACTGCCTCCTGAGACAGAGATGAATGATGTCTGTCCAGATGTGGAAGCCTCCCTGCCAGTGCAGACCCAGATAGCCAAGGATGTGATGGAGAGGTGCATTCACTTGCTGTCTGATAAAGATCTGAAGACACGCCTGAAGGTCAGTGTGCCTTGTCTACTCTGTATTTATAGACTGCAGGATGTAAAGAGGGCTGGCCTTGTCGAGAATGACTGTTCTGATAAGAGAGCAGCCTCCCTTATCTTCAGGTCCATGTGTGGTGGCCAAGAGAAGGCCCTGGAGGGATTTATCTGTGAGATGATGGTATTATGTCTGTCCATGCCAGCTCAATTACCAGAAGAGAGCTGATCCCCTCTGAATCAAGAAGCAACAAAGTTGTATGAAGTTCAAAGAATCCATAGGAGAAAGTGAGAAGGGTAGAAAGTGATAGACTTCAGAAAACATTTATTTTTCTGAACTTTATTTTTAGTGCAAGATACAAGCTTTAGTTCTGCTAGTATTCTTAAGTTTTTAAAAGTGGTCATTCTTTCTTGCCTGCCAACAGTCAATTGCTTATCTCTGTTTTCCTTTTCCTTCTTATGAGAGAGTCCAATAGTTACTGTGTTCTCTCTCCCACCCACCCCCCACCCCCAGTCCCCATACTCAACTTCCTTCACAGAGAGGGTTTAAAATGAGCGTGCTTACAATAACTGTACCTTTTTCCCCCTTGCCGTTGTACCCATCATTCTGTCATCTCTCTCAGTCTCCCTTTGCCAGTGCACAGCAACTCCCTGTGCAACAGATAGAATGACAGAACTGACTAGATATGAATAAAAACATGTCTTTGGTGGCCATTGGCCACAACACTAAATTTATCTTAAATCTGGACTTTGGGCTGAAAAGTAGCACAATGTGCTCTCTCATGCACTGAAAAAAGAAGAATCTAAGGTCCCACTGCCACCGTGACCACTTTCTCACACCTCCACCTCACCCCAGCCTCTCATAATCATTAAGATTGAGTTTTGTTGTCCATCAGTCTCCATGTTCAGACCCTTCACTAATCATTAATTCATTCTCATCTTGTTTACTCAGGTTCTGGATGTGTTAGAACTGTGTGTGACTGTTCTTCAGTCCCATGAGAACCAGCTACTTCCCATGGTGCATCGGGCCTGGCTGCCACTTGTGCACCGACTTACTAATGATGACCCACTGGCTGTTCTCAGAGCCTTTAAGGTACGGCATTGACCTCCTCCCCCACACTAGCTTTGAGGCCTTATTGAGTGAGGGAAAGTTGGTTAAGCCTCTGGTATCTAGAGCAGCATGGTCTGCTGCACTAGTGTCAAAATCAAAACAAAACAAGGGCCACCAAACCATACATAAGGATCCCTGCGGGCTGCATGTTGACTTAGAAAACCACATATTAACATTGTCAGTGTTCTGTTGTATTTTTTTATTTTGTTGAACATTTCCCAATTACATTTCATCTGATTCAGACCATACTGAGGCATGTTGCGGGCCACATGCAGTCTGAGGACCTTGAGTTTGACATCTGGTCCAACGGAAAGATCATCATCCTGGAAGGGAAGAGGCCTTCTCTACCATTCACTCACTATGTGAATGAAGCAAATCACTTAACCTGCCGAGGCTTCTGTTTCCTCAGTTGTCAAGTTAGGATAATACTTTCTGACCTCACTGTCTCACAGGGTGATTGTTGGAACAAATGAGATATGTATGAAAGTACCTATAAAAGTTAAATATGTATAATATAATAAAAATGACAATTCTACCTAAACTAATTTACTTATTCAGTGCCATACCAATCAAACTACCAAAAAATTATTATATAAAGCTAGAAAAAATAATATATAGAGAAGTATAAGGTGATATTATTATTTCTTTTATGAACTTTCTGGATTTCTTTGCTCTTTGTTGAAGCAGGAGGAAGGAAGGCAATGGACATTTATTAAGTGCCTACTATCCTCCAGGCACTGTACTAAGGACTTTATAATTATTGTCTTCCTTGATCCTAAAAATAACCCTGAGAGGTTGGTACTGTTATTATCATTGTTTTATAGTTGAGGAAACTGAGGCAGACAGATGTTAAGTGACTTGCCCAGGATCACACAACTAGTAAGTGGCCAAGGTCATGTGTGAACTCCAGGCCCAGCACTCTATCTACTGCGCCAGCTCTGCCTAGCAGAAGCATTTTCACATTGTTTTTATGTGTCTGCAGCATCTACTTACTAAGCCAAAATATAAATGTAAATCTTTTTTTTTAATTACTATTATTCTGAAAGCCAGAACTTCAGAATGAAATATATACAGTATTGCTTAGTGGTTCTTATTCATAGATGATTTTTCCTTTATGAAAAGGAAATTTTTTTTCCATATTTTCTTAATTCCATAATTCCTTTCCATATTTTCAAGAGCGATTGGGAAAAGGAGGATAGGATAGAAAAGGGGATAGGCTAGGGAGTAGAGGTCTGGATCTATGATTTCACTAGTTTGGTGAACACCTCGAGGAGAAAACTCCTTCATCAGAGTAAGTTGGCACCTTCTCTTCAATAGTATTAGAGATCTGCTCAGAACACTGTGAGGTTACATGACTTACCCAGGGTCACAGAGCCAGTATGCATCCGTGGTGAGATGCTTCTTGGCTGCAAGGCCAATACTCTAACCATTACCCTGCACTGCCTCTCCGGAAAACAGAGAAACTTGTGACTTTGTGTTCCATATCTGATACTGCTCCATCCTCCTTCCCCCAAATGTGTTAATGACATTGATAGACCTGTGACATTTCATGCTTCCCTGTTAAGGTACTTCAAGTGTGTGCCTAGATCCATCCCAAGTAACCGTTCTGCGTCCTTATTATCAGTCAGGAGAGCTTAAAGAAAATTTATTATATCCTTTGTTTTCAATCTTTCACTAAAGCAATGCATGTGTGTATGTTCTGCTAGAGAGGTTAAAAGGAGGCATGCAAAGAAACTGCATGTTGTGAAGGGGAGAGTAATAATAATGATTTAAGCTCATGTTGGTGCAACATGCTGGGCTTCCTGCCCAGTAGTCCTGTGAGACAGGGAGTGCAGAAATTTTCCTCTCCATTTGATGGATGAAGGAACTGAGGCACAAAGGAAAAGTGATTTGCCCAAGGTCACAACTTGTTCACGTAAAGTAAGGCTCAAACCCAAGCGTTCTGAGTCCAAGTCCCCTTCTCTCTCTCTCTCTCTCTCTCTCTCTCTCTCTCTCTCTCTCTCTCTCTCTCTCCCTCTCTCCCTCTCTCCTCTCTTCTCTTCTGTCTGTTTCTCTTCCTCTCTCCCTCCCCCCTTTCTCCCTTCCTCCCTCTCTGTCTCCCTCCTCCCCCCCCATACCTGGAGTCCCTTTATTTGAAGAGAATGAACAGTAGATAGAGCATTAGAAAAGCTGACTGACCAGCTTTTGCTCTGCTCTTGATATAGCTAATTAATTTTGGGCAAATGACCCACCTCACTGTACCTCAGTGTTTTAATCCTTATTTCTAGAAGTAGAGAAATAGCTGTCCTGTCCCCCTCTCTTGCCAAGGGATATTATTGAGAACCAATAAATTTGAATTGCTTCAAGGTTTATTTTATTCTTTTTTTTTTTTCTTTTTTTTTTTGGTGAGGCAGTTGGGGTTAAGTGATTTGCCTAGGGTCACACAGCTAGTAAGTGTTATGTGTCTGAAGCCAGATTTGAATTCGGGTCCTCCTGACTCCAAGGCCGGAGCTCTATTCACTGCGCCACCTAGCTGCCCCTGGTATCTTTTATTCTTAATGGGGCAGTGAGTGGTATGTTGGAATGAGCTGTGGACCTGATATCAGGAGAGAATCTGGGTCCAATCCCAACTTTTCCTAATTACTACCTGGGGGACAATGTGAGGCAGTGCAGCAGAGTGGATAGAGAGCTGGCTTCAGAGTGCTGATCTGAGTTCAGGATTTGCCTCTGACACTTATTGGCAGTGTGACCCAAACCAAGTCACTTAACCTCTCAGTAACTCAAGCAGTTCTCTAAGACTGTAATTTGAAGAATGGTTTTTGATCTACAGTGGTAGAAGGATTTTCCTTATTGGAAATTCCCCATACCGATGGAGTCACAAATTCAGACCAAAGTTATTAGCCAAAAGAAATAAGTACTATGGAAATCAAGGAGTTAATCAACTAGCTCTTTGAATTATTCTCTCTGTAACATATATTTACAGATATAAACAGCCACACCCTGGGAGCAGAGCCCCCCAAACTCATAACTATTAGAAGTACAGAACATGAGCCAGAAGTTAACATTAATTCTATTTCATGAGGCAAAGAGATAGATCAAATTGAATTACTAAGTATCCTTTGGTTATCTTCTTAGGAAACATTTCTGAACAATGTCGAACATATACTTCAGTAAACGCTAAAGTTTGGACGGGACTTGGGGGTCTTTTTTTATAGGTGTTATGCACCTTGGGGAACAAATGTGGTGATTTCCTTCGGAATCGGTTTTGCAAAGACATCTTGCCGAAGCTGGCTGTCTCCTTGGCCACCCAGGCTCCTGTCAGTGCCAGGGCTGGACCTGTCTACTCCCATACACTCGCCTTCAAATTGCAGCTGGCTGTGTTGCAGGGTCTGGGTTCACTTTGCAAGAAACTGGACCTTGGTATGTACCTACCCAATTAACCAGTCCACTCATAAAACAAAATTGACACCACCTCAACCCTATCCTAGCACTCTCACTTACATCCCGCCCTGCTCTGCGTAGCTCATCTTATCTCTTTGCCATCTCCCTTCATTTGACTAACCTTCAGTTGCTTGCTTTGGCCTCATTTTGTAATTACTCTGGGGAAAGAGGAAGGAATAGAGGGCATCTTTTCTCACTGTTCCTATTGCATCAGACAGCACTTGGTTACTACTTGTCCTGAATGAATCCTGAAGGCCAATGCCTGCTTTGTTTTCTCTCGGCAGGTGGGGGTGACCTGAATAAAGTGGCAGATGCCTGCTTGATTTACCTGAGTGCTAAACAGCCCATGAAATTACAAGAGGCTGCCAGGAGGTAACACCACTCCAACATATGCCTACACATACATATCTTTCTGTTTGTGGTAAATTATTGATGTCTCAGTAATGACAAACAGGGTTAAAAATAATTTCTCCCTTCTCTCCCTTCTTGCGAAGTTACGGTATATTTGTTTAACTCTGCTATTTGTAGGGCTGAGGTTTTTATCTAGTGACATTTCTCTCTGTAAAGAACTTTTGCAAAGGAGTCAAGATATTAGAGCTGAAAGGGACATTGTAAACCATTTAGTCCAGCCTCTCCATTTTACAGTTGAGGAAACTGAGGCTGAGAGACTTACCTAAGGCAACTCAGTCAGGAAATGGTAAAGTCAGGGTTCAAATCCTGGTTTTCTGAGTCCAAGTCCAATACTAAGATACTCTGCCTACTCAGTCCAATAACAGTGACGGTTCTGAGAAGCCAGAAAAGAAAAGCAGTGATATAGTAGAAAAAATACTGTACTAGAAGTTAAAAGACCTGGATTCTATTGTCTTTGCCAGTAACTAGATGAGGCCTAGACAAGTCACTCCTGGGCTTCATTGGCCTTCTCTGTAAAATAAATCAACAAGCATTTGTTAAGCACCTACTGTGTGTCAGGCACTGTGCTAAGTGCTAGGGATACAGATACAAAGAAACAATCCCAACGGTCTGAGATTTTTTTTTAAATTTAGTTTTCAATATTCACTTTTATAAGATTTTGAGTTCCAAATTTTCCCCCCTGCCCCCTCCCCAATCTGATATAGGCTATACTTGTACAGTCAAATTAAACATATTTCCACATTAGTCATGTTGTAAAAGAAGAATCAGAACCAAAGGGAAAACCATGAAAAAGAGAAAATAGTATGCCTCGGTCTGCATTCAGACTCCATAGTTCTTTCTCTGTAGATAGCATTTTCCATCATGGGTCCTTTGGAATTGTCTTAGATCCTTGTATTGCTGAGAAGAACTAAGTCTACCAAAGTCAGTCATTACACAATGGGGCTGTTACTATGTGCAGTGTTCTTCTGGTTCTGCTCACTTCACTCAGCATCAGTTCATGTAAGTTTTTCCAGGTTTTTCTGAAATCTGCCTGCTCATTATTTATAGAACAATAGTATTCCATTATATTCATATACCACAACTTGTTCATCCATTCCCCAGTTGATGGGCATCCTTTCAATCTTCAATTCTTTGCCACCACGAAAAGAACTGCTATAAATATCTTTGTACATGTAGGTCCTTTTGCCTCTTTTATGATCTCTGTAGGATGCAGACCTAGTAGTGTTATTGCTAGCTCAAAGGGTATGCACAGTTTTATAGCTCTTTGGACATAGTTCCAAATTGCTCTCCAGAATGGTCAGATCAGTTCACAATTCCACTAACAATGCATCACTGTTCCAATTTTCTCACATCTTCTCCAACATTTATAATTTTCTTTTTTTGTCATAATGGCCAATCTGATAGATGTGATGTGGTACCTCAGAGTTGTTTTAATTTGCATTTCTCTAATCAGTAGTAATTTAGAGCATTTTTTCATATGACTATAGATAGCTTTAATTTCTTCATCTGAAAACTGCCTGTTCATATCCTTTGACCATTTATCAATTGGGGAATGATTTGTAGTCTTATAAATTTGACTCAATTCTCTATATATTTTAGAAATGAAACCTTTATCAGAGGCATTGGCTATAAAAATTGTTTCCCAGCTTTCTGCTTCCCTTCTAATCTTGGTTGCGTTGGTTTTGTGCAAAAAGAAAAACTTTTTAATTTAATGTAATCAGAATTATCCATTTCGCATTTCATAATATTCTCTATCTCTTGTTTGGTCATAAGTTCTTTCCTTTTCCGTAGATCTGACAGGTAAATTCTTCCTTGCTGAGAGCTCACATTCTAACAGAAGTGCTAAGCTAGATCAGTTCTGAAGTCCCTTCCAGTGTTTCCATTCACTGAACCAGAGAATCTCAGAATTGGGAGGGAGAGGCTTTGGAGGTTATCTACTTTAGATGCTGCCTAAACCATAAATTTGTCTGTGATTCCAATTTCCATGAATTTGAGTCATGCTCATTGGAGGTATTTTTCTATCCTGACTCTTGGCTTAGGAGGAAGAAATGCCTTGTTATTCTAGTATTCAGTTTTTTTCATAAGGTAAAAGTATGGTCAGAACAATTATCTGAACTCACAGCCTACCTGAAATGCCCACTTTTACAGGTTGGTTTGTTTGTTTGTTTATTTGTTTTCAAAGCCAGTGGCAGCCTTCTTCCCAGAGCTGCCTTCAGTTGTCAGGCTGCTAGGGTCTTGGGAAATCCAAGTCTGCCTGGCCTCTGCCTCAGTGGAGCATGTCTGACCCTGCATTTCCACATCAGCCTGACGCAAAGAGCACAGTTCAAAGTGCTGTGAAAAACAGTGAAGAAAGCTCTCTTAACTGCTGCTTCTTGGGCAGTATACGTAGTAGCAAAGGCAAGAGCCAGCCAGGTACCCAGAGGGACCAGGAGCCAGGTTCTGATTGGGGGGGTAATAGGGTACCAGCTGGAAGAAGTAGCTTTTGTAATTGATGTTTTCTACTTGGTGATTTTTCTCTCCTGTTTTCCCAGATTTTTTTCCCCCATCCCTTTTCCTGTCATATCCCCTAGGCCTCGAATCAATCTTGGCTTCCCAAGAATGGGAGCTCTCTAAAAAACTCACATTTCTTCAGACATCCTCCCTTGGTAGGGATCCCCCTAAGAATGAAAGGAAGCCTCCCATAGATAGAGACCCTGAAGCTAATTGTGCTCTAATTTGAAGCACAAATGAAGATCTTAATGAATGGCTCCTAGTATGGTATTTTGCCTACTTTTTACATGTAAGAGTCATTGCTTCACCCACCCCCAAAATTCTTCCCCACCAACCCCCAGCACACACATTTAGACCCATCAGATAAGTTGATTTTTACATTTTGTTATTTCATTTCCAATTTCCTTTTTTGACACTGGAAAGCAATTAAACTCTGACTTGAGTTTCCTACATTCTTGAGTTAGTATTCAAGGCATGTTGAAAACAAGAATGAAACAAGTGTAAAAATGTATTTCAACTGCTTGACTTAGGACTGGCAAGACCTTGCAGGGACTGAGCAGAGACCAGGGTCTGAGCCTTGATTCTGCTGCTTAGAGCTTCATGACCTTCCACAAGTGATTTAATCTCCCTGAACCTCAGTTTCCTCATTTGTAAAATGTAGATTACAATCCTGCCATGCCTCCCTCCTGAGAGAGCATTGTAAAAATGTCATCTGGTGGTATTGTTCTGGTCTTTGTTTCATCAGCAAGGATTCCATTTAGAGTTGAGTTAAATGAGCCTGCTTTTGAGATACTGGGAGGCAGTTGGGAGCGCAAGGTTGATTGATTTTCATTCAACTTTCTGATGATGTGAAGTAATTTTGAATTCAGAAAAATTGCATTGTTGTGCTCTTTCAGAAGCTGGGACCACCATGTTGATTTGGAAATTAATGAGTCACCTGACTTAGGAAAAGGGCCTGAGACAGTCAGGAACAGCCTTTGGCAAGGTGCTTGTTATGTCTTCACCTGTGTTGTGTAAATGGCAGATGAACAAAAATGACCAATCACGGCATATACCCTGCTGTTTAATATTGTCCTGGAATGTTAGGACACTCAGCATTCTAGATGCCATGTGCTCCCTAATTCTGTTAGATTTAAACTCAGCAAGCATTTAGTAAAACCTTGCACTGTGTTCAAGATACTGTTCTGGGTACTGGAGATGCAAAGATGACACCTTCCCTGCCTTTTAGGAGCTTACTTAGAGGCTCGTGGGGGAGCAGAGGTATAGGAGAAACCGGTACACATAGAGGAAAATGTGATAGGAGCAAAGAAAAGTCCATATGAAAGCCTGTGAATGAGGACATCTTAGTCAGGGCTGGTCAGAAAGGGCTTTGTGAAGAAAGTGACCCCTCAGTTGGGTCTTTAAGGAAGTAAAGGATTTCAACAGGCAGAAGTTAGGAAGCATGCTTTCCAGGAATGGAGGGTGTCTTTTGTGACTGCCTGGAATTGGGAGATAACACGATGTGAAGGAGAAAGCTAATCTCATTTGGTTTGAACATAGAGTGGGTAAAGGGGAGTAATAGGAAATAAGGCTGGAAAGGTAGAATCAGATTGTGGATGGGCTGAAGAATTTGCATTTTTTCCTCCGTACCAGGGGACTATAGCCCAGGGGGCCAGATATAGCTCCCTGGCTGCCTATTTCCATAGGCCTAGGGCCCTCAAGCTACGAATATATTTAAAATTTATAAATAAAGTGGCCTATAGTTTTCTGATCCCTGCTCTCAGCAGTAGAGAGTCACTAAAGTCAAGGGAAGTCTTCAAGGCCTAGCCAGACTGTAGTCACGTCCTCTGATGTTTTTCTTTTCTAGTGTTTTGCTTTTAGAACTCTAAAGAATGGCCAGGCCACTGTTTGCTTTTTTTTTTTTTAATTTGTTGTATTAAACATAACCTCCATGGCAATCTTTTACATCCAAGCTGTAAACTCAGGAAATGGAAATTGATCAGGGCTTAGTTGATACAAGTGAAACTGTAAATGATAAGAATGAGGCTGCCATTCCAGTTTAGTGCTGAATGTGCTGGGTGAGGATTAGATATAAATCTTGGTGCTGGGAGGAGGGGGTGGTTATCTGGTAATGGAAGAAGGAATGAATTATAATGCCTAGTTTCGCCACCAGGTGTCTCTGTTAACTGGAGAGAAAAGACGATTGAAGCTCATAAAAGTTTATCTAGCTAAATCATTTCAACTATAAGCAAATAAGAGAATGACTTGGAGGGGTGGGGAAGAAGGGCTTGGCATGCTATGGGTCCATAAATAAGCTGGGATCCCCAGGGTAAGCATTAGATTGAAAATAACAGGTCATAGCATCCAAACCCACTGCCAAAGATTATAGAGCCAAACTTATCTGATTTGAATCCCATGTGGCTTTCCAAGCCTTTGAGACATCTCCCAGCATTCAGTGTACCTCCACAGTTCTTTGCCTTTCTGGCAGACAA